ATTATCATCATTATCATCATTATCATCATTATCATCATTATCATCATTATCATCATTATCATTATCATTATCATTATCATTATTATTATTATTATTATTTCTCAGTTACTTGAAATTGAGAAGTTTTCACGTTTTTGCACGAAATAATTACCTGCAGAGATTATTCTGATATAAATTAGTCACTGGCAGTCCATTTCTAAATTTACAAAAGGGGCGGCTTAATTTTTAAATATATTAGTGACGTTTTTATCTAAAAGTTATATTTTAAATTATTCGCCTCCCTAGAAAATTCTACCAAATTTGAATTTAAAAACTATTAACGTTATATAAACTTTTCATTTAATTTTTTGCTTTTTTATATATTTTTTTATATTTTCTAAGCAATTTTTTTTCATCTAATTGGTAAAAAAAAATTAGCATAGGGATCTGCCTGCATCTAAGAATTATACATAAATTGAAAATATTCACAACAAAATAATATAACATTAAATATGTAACTAAATAAGCCTGTTCACTCCAATTAACCGATACATCTCTTGCGGGCGGGGCAGGCGGTCCGGGAGGGAAGCCTATGGTTACACATGGTAGTTTCGTTGTAGTACCAACCTTACACAAACTAATTTGAGCGAACTAAATATAATATATACGAATGAAATTTATACAACACGTATATTAGCCTGGATATATTTTTCTTGTTTAATGCAAGGCAATTAACTTTTTAATTGAATAAAAGTGTCTATTTATTTATTAAAAGCTTGTATAGTAACTATAAATAAAATCTGGCAACATTGCCGTTGCCATAGCGTGGTGGTAAAAGTTGGGTCAACTGCCATTATTGTCAACTGTGCTTTGCGTGTATTCCGTAAACATGAATGAACATCCAAGATACAAAGGAAAAGAAATGACTGAAAAGCAATATAAAATGCGTATGAAACAGAATGTGGATTGATGAGAAAAAAGTAAAATGTGCAAACCGAGAATCCATATTGATAACTATCAAGAAGCTCAGTATATGATAGTGAGACGTCGCCTTGTTAAGATTATGACAGAACATCTATACAGTTCGTTTTGCAATTTTTGTTTCAAATTGCTATTATATTGCATTAGATCACGAAAAATATATTTAATATTAATTATTACTACATATGTTTTCGACTGGAATAATTTTATAATCTATACAGTCGAGCTATTCAAATATAGCGTGTCAGTCGAAGCGTTACATACAGCAGTCTTGCCATATTTCTTTTCACTGGATCAGATGTTTATTCAAATTTGTTAAAATGTTATCTATTCATTCCATTATCTCAATAATTACATTGTAAGTGCATATTTTTATTGTTTTAAAATGTTTAGTAATATTTAATTCTTAAATTACAATTTTATTTTCCCGATCCTAACCATTTTAAGAGAAATATTCACGTTTGATTAAACTTTTTCCCAACTCGCATAAGAGCCTGTGTATAAGAGCATCATTTTTTATATAATTTTTCAAAAAAACTATATTGTCAATCAATCTGATATTTTTACACGAGGCAGTTTGCATATTTATTAACAGATTTCAATGATTTTGAAAACATTCTTACCATTTTTTTTGGCGTTGAACCTCCTTAAATGTTTGCTTGTGATTTTCTAAGAAAATGCCAATGAAAAAGTAAAGCTATTTGCACACCTTGTGTAATATACATTTAAAATGGTGTATGCCTATTTGTATCTCAAAAGTATTCACCAAATATTCATTAATTAATATATGCGGAATGCAAATAAATGAAAAAAATTCTTATTAAAAACTTATAAAATAAATACCAGAGAAATTGTATACCTGTTCCATGATATTCAGTATCTATTGGTGGTAAAATACCAAATTTCGATAGAGAAGATTGATATCTAATTCCTTTTGCTTCATCTGCATAATATATTTTGGAAAGTACATATAAATTTGAATTAAGGGAATGACATTTTACAAATATATTACTTACATCTGCTAACTATTAATTCTACAGAAACTTGGGCTCCAGGTGTTTGCGGTGGGTAACCAGAAGCAACACACAGATAAGTTCCACTATCTTGTACTTTTATATTAGGGATTTCCAATTGGCCATTTCTGTCAACTGATCCTGGAGGTAGAGGTTGTCCATTTGGCCTTCTCCACACCACTTTTGCTCTTAGCGGTCCTTCATCTCTACATTGGAATACCACTTCTGTATCTGCATTAGTAAAAAGTATTAGTAAATAGAAAAAACCTCTCTTATATGCAACCCATGCAGTCCAGCATTATATTCTCGATGTTAAATTGTCAATCGTATTAAATATATTTGAAATCATAATCAGACTAAGCACGATTATTTACAATATCAGTATAAAATAGCTAGTGGATAATATGAAGATGTTACAGAGATGAACACCTTTTTTGCTGTACTTATTACCGTCACCAAACTAAGTTTTTAGTATTTACATAGTAGTATATTGAATCTAATACAAGTGATAGATTTATATTTCTTTAAAAAATAATATTACATACTTTGAAAGAGATATATTGATAATCATTTGGATAAAATTTTCAGAATAATGTTGAAGAAAAATTATATATACACGCATAACATGAAAAAGTTACATAATTTATAGTACATAGAGTCTGTGGCGTAGATATAGTAGGAGGCAGAAAAAAAGAGCAGTGCCTCAAGTTAATGAAGGGAACTGACTAACAAATACCAAGTGTTATAAAAAATACATACATGGATGGAGATGAAAAGAGCTTTTCAATTTCTAAAAATTTAGTTTCAAGTTGGCCGCCAAAAAGAATTCAATAGACACATTATACCAGTTAAGATATGCCCAAAAGATATCCATTTCTTTTCTAACAATAAACAGCTACACATCGTCCAAAAGTCAATGACAAAAAATTTTAAGTTAAATTTTGACGTTTTGGGAAATGATTATTACATAATAAAATCTTTCATTAAAAAGTAATTTGGAATATATTTTATGTCTCAAAAATCAAGATGACCTCACAAAAAAAAGTTTCAGAAAGTTTTAGGTACTTGTTTCCCTATTAAAAATTGCAAAATTGTCATACCAGAAAAACATTTCTTTACTCTCAATAAGTTTCCAATTTTGTTACTTTTTAAAAGTTATTATACTGCGTATAGAAAAAAGGGATATCTTATACACCAGAAAAAAAATAAAAGTTTGATCTTTCACCATCCCTTGTGTTAAAATTTATTATTTGTCTCCCCTGCAAAATAAATATTTCTGTATAGATAAAACCATTTTCTTACATGTACATCTACAAAATTTTTAAGAATGTGCAATAAAAACATATTTTCCTTATAATAATATGTATGTGCTCAAATATTAGGCCGAGTTTTTTGTTTGTAATATTATTTTCCTGAATATACGCAATTTTATACTAAATGTTAAATGTANGTCGCTATAAGCTACTCCCTACGTCCAATGTGTCAGAGCCAACTTCAACCACGTTTTTATTTGAACGCTCGTTATATACACGCATAACATGAAAAAGTTACATAATTTATAGTACATAGAGTCTGTGGCGTAGATATAGTAGGAGGCAGAAAAAAAGAGCAGTGCCTCAAGTTAATGAAGGGCCCTGACTAACAAATACCAAGTGTTATAAAAAATACATACATGGATGGAGATGAAAAGAGCTTTTCAATTTCTAAAAATTTAGTTTCAAGTTGGCCGCCAAAAAGAATTCAATAGACACATTATACCAGTTAAGATATGCCCAAAATATATCCATTTCTTTTCTAACAATAAACAGCTACACATCGTCCAAAAGTCAATGACAAAAAATTTTAAGTTAAATTTTGATGTTTTGGGAAATGATTATTACATAATAAAATCTTTCATTAAAAAGTAATTTGGAATATATTTTATGTCTCAAAAATCAAGATGACCTCACAAAAAAAAGTTTCAGAAAGTTTTAGGTACTTGTTTCCCTATTAAAAATTGCAAAATTGTCATACCAGAAAAACATTTCTTTACTCTCAATAAGTTTCCAATTTTGTTACTTTTTAAAAGTTATTATACTGCGTATAGAAAAAAGGGATATCTTATACACCAGAAAAAAAATAAAAGTTTGATCTTTCGCCATCCCTTGTGTTAAAATTTATTATTTGTCTCCCCTGCAAAATAAATATTTCTGTATAGATAAAACCATTTTCTTACATGTACATCTACAAAATTTTTAAGAATGTGCAATAAAAACATATTTTCCTTATAATAATATGTATGTGCTCAAATATTAGGCCGAGTTTTTTGTTTGTAATATTATTTTCCTGAATATACGCAATTTTATACTAAATGTTAAATGTATGAGGCTTCTTAGTTGAAGATTATTTTACCAATATTATATGT